TAGATAGTTCCTGAAACTCTAGGGTAGCAACAAGTTTGGTGCATATATGTGAAGTACCAACATAAATGGGCTTTGGAAAGTTGAAAGTGCCAAACACTGCCTCTGGGCCATTATCTTTTGGAGGGTAGGAGCTGGACTCAGAGTTGGCTGGATGACTGAGTGGGTGGTTGGGTAGGCAAGAGGCTTGGTGAGTAGATTTGGGGATGGAGGAGTGCAGGAGAGGGTGAAGGGTTGGATGAGTGTATGCGTGGAGGACAGGCTATATCTACTTTGGATATCAAGACCATATCAATCTTCCACTGCTGGAAGAGAAGGACTTAACCTCCTCCAAACTGGACTAACAGTTTGTCTTAAGCAAACACTGACTACACCAGAGGCTCAACAGAGGCTGGTTTAAAAGGCATTCAGCTTGGCACTCTTAGCCTGGAGAAAGGTAAGGTAGAAACTTAGAGACTACATGTCCATGAGTCTGGAAACCAGAAGCACAGCTTCCTACCAGCACCTGTCACTACGTGGGAATAGGAGGGATAGTGGGGTTGCATCCAGCCCAGCTCTTGCCTTCTCCTGGCCTGGCCTGTGAACTCACTTGGGAGGTCTGCCAGGCTCGTCTCACAAGTCCAGGGGGAAGCAGCAGGCATCCACATTGAGAGTGTCTGTGGACAAACAAAGAGAAATACCCCTCTCTAATCACACCCCCCAAACAAACTCTGTGAAGACCTAAAGGATGGTTCTATGTGGGCATCTAAGGGTCTAGAAAGATTCCAGCCTCATGCAGTTCTTCACTCCTTAATTAACTCAATCAACCGCAAGCCTTCTTTGGGCCTTCTCAGAGATTCAGAAATCTCTAAATCTTCTACATAGAAATTTTATAAAATATAATTCTCTTGGTGGTTTTAAAGATTTATGCTTTACAAAAACACAAGTTTATTAAAGTATGATTTACATAGTGCAACATTTACCAATTTTAAGTATATAAATCAGTGATTTTTAGTAAATTTCCAGAATTATCTAATCATCACCACAATCCAGTTTTAGAACATTTTCATCACTTTAAGAAGATCCTGTGTCTACTTTTACCCCCCGCCCCGCACAACTATTCACCTGCTCTTGTCGCTATAGACTTGCCTCTTCTGAATGTTTCATGGAAATATGTGATCCTGTGCACTTGACATCTTTTACTCAGCATAATGTTTTTGAGGTTCTTTCAGGATGTAATCTTACTTTTACGCATAATCTCCCAAATTCCCACATTTGTTTTAGACACACTGGATTTGAATGAGGTTCACCCCAATTTTGAAAGCTTGTATTTTCAATGTAAATTTTGGAAAAGTCTAGATTCTTAGATACATAAAGCACATTTCTGGTTGGCTGGCTGGGTCTTCTTGGGCCAAATGACTGGCCACTTATGTGTGCCATTCCTTTAAAAATTGTTGGTTTGCCCTGGCCAGGTGACTTAGTTGGTTGTGGGTTCGATTCCCAGTCAGGGCACATGACTGGGTTGCAGGATCGATGCCCAGTTGGGGCATGTACAAGAGGCAAATAATGTCTCTCTCTCTCTCTCCCTCCCCCCTTCCTCTCTCTCTAAAATTAAGTTTAAAAAACCACACATATCCTCAGGTGAGAATTTTAAGAAATGTTTGCTCAGCACTCTATCCCAGAAAACAGGTGCTGTGCCCCCTTCAGCAGATTGGAAATGGACTATTTCAGTAGCCACAGGGTTTTGTTTGTTTGTTTAAAACTCACAGCACAGCTTTTTGTCTGGGACATGTCTAGGAGAGAAGCCATTTTTGAGTAAAGGGTGAGCCAAGATACAAACATTTACAGCCACCCACAGGCCGGCCCTGAAACATGTGCCTGAAGCATCAGGCTACATTTGTCTAAGAGTCTTTTCACCCAACAGACATTGGCAACCCACTGTGTCCCAAGTGTGTACGAGGCATTGAGGACACAGAGGTGAACACAGCTAACATAGAACTGCTTTCCTCAATGTGTCACCTCTGGCAAATGTTCATGTAACTTCCCTGGCCTTGGTTTTCTCACCTGTAAAATGGAAAAATAGTAGTATTTGTTTTAGCCCTGCACAACTTTTATATAAAGTCCTAAGACTTAGAACAGTGTCTGACACTTAATAAGTGCTCAGTAAGTGGTAGCTATATTATTATTATAGTTGACATTATTATGACACACTTTGTACTCAGATAATTAACGTTCTTTACAACAACACAGACCTGTATTTCAACCTTATGAATACTAAGTGGGCACTTTCTCAGGTTATTATGGTCACACAAGAGGAAGTGTTGAGCTTCACCTAGAGTGGGTGGGGAAGACGGGCCAGTCGTGGGCACTGTTCCAGACACTGACATGTCAAGTACATCTAACACCTCTGATTACTTTTTAACTCTGATTACTTACCAGTCACATGAAGAGATTAGCATCTAGTTCAACTTGGACTGTCCCCAGCACAGACCCTCAGTGTCCCATGTGATGAGCTTCATGACTGGTCTTGAAATCTGCCCTGCTCTTTCCCAGCACCACATCTTCGCGTGCACTATGATCTCTACCCTTCCTTCCCTTCCTCTCCCATCTATCCATCTGCATGCTGCTCATGTCTTACCTGTTCCCAAGGTTTTTTCCAAATCCCCCAGCTGACCTGGGCTCTTCCTTCACAACTCTCAGGACTTTGCTGCATTAGGAAGTAACATGAAGACCCTAGAATGCCAGCATCCTTATTTTACGGAGCTACAAACAAAGGCTCAGGGTGATGGGTACCTGTCCAACCTCTAGGAGTCCCCTGGACTGCTTCCTCCCTCTGACCAGCTTTGACCCACCCCCAACACCTACAGTTCCTGGGTCCTAATGCTGGTCCTGTCTGTCCGCCTCAGGCTCCTCAACCACCACTTAAGCCTGATCCACAATCATTTCTCAGCTTCCTGCCTTATTTTACCCCACTCACTCCGGTGTCCCCAGCACAGTAAGAATGACCCTTCTAAAATCTAAACCTGCCATTCCCTCCCCCACTTAGAACTTCAGTGGCATCCCTCTGGCTCCAGAATAAAATCCACTTTTCAGACCAGCATCTGCTGCAGCTTCAACACCACTGCAGCCTCCAATCTCCCCACATTCCTCAGGTGCACCTTAGGAAGCTGCCCTGAAGTCTTTGAACTTACCATACCCCTCTTACCCCTGGGTGTTCGCACAGGCCTCTGCCTCTGCCTGGAATTCTTCCCACCCTCTTTCCTCTCACCCACACATGGCTTTGCCTGGGTGATATCTCCTTATCTTTCCTGCCTTGGGCTCCCATAGTTCTCCACCCAGGGCTGTAATTGCTATTGTAACCATCTTCCCACATGTGTATCCTCAGCTCAGAGTGTAGTTCACAGCGCAGTGTCCCATAGATGGGGCAGCCAATGCTTGTTTGGATTGTCCTGTTCTTGTCGTTCCTTTAAGTTTATTGTAAAAGTCACATGAATTTCTCTGCCACTAGCCTTTGCCACTTAACTGTATTGAGGTTGTGGGGGCCTAGAAATAACTCCCCTCTCTTCCAAACAGTCAGAGACCAGGATGTCAGTTTTATTGCTGATGAGAGCTAAGCTAGAGAGCTCAACCCTCCCAGAGGGACACATCCCCCAGAGATTGCTGCCACCTTCTAGAAGGAGGGGAAAATGGTTGGAGAGGCTGGATCTTGATTGGATCAGGAGAAACCAGGAGCCCAGCCCGAGCCTGATCACCTGTGGCCAGGTAGTAGGGCCTCTGAGAACAGGGCGCTGCATCCCAATCCCTGGTTGGACGAGGGAAGGTGTATTTCTCAGAAGAGGAAGATGTTATATAAATGGAACAATAGTTTCTACTTTCCAGACCTCCTCAGGTTCATTCTTTCTGCTCTAGACACTACCTTTTAAGAGAAATATTCTAACCTGAGATCATGGTTCCCAACCTTTGAGGGGAAGGCTGTTCATAATGTAAAAAAATGTTTCTGCCTCCATCCCTGCTACCAGCCCATGAAAATGGCACTACTCCATTAAAAGCTTGGGGGGTAATGGAAGAGATTCTGAGTTAATTACCAAATGTTCATCCCCTGCCTTTCCTTAGTTAACTGAATCCAAAGTTTTGGCTGAGCATTTTATAGCCAGTATAAAAGGCTCTATTTACCTGCCTCCCTTGTAGCTAGGGTGTGGGCACATGGGAAGTTCTGGCCAATGGAGCATTGTGTGAACCTTAAAAGAGAGATACATGTCTTCTGTTCCCTCTTTCCTGCTGCCTGGAACATAGATCCGATGGCTGGAATTTTAGCAGCTATCCTTGACCATAAAGATAAAGCCACATTCTGAAGACTGCAGAGAAGAAATATAGACATTTCAATCTCTGCCATAATCGTGGAGTTTCCAGTTTATGTGAGAGAATAAGAAATGCTGGTCTTGTTTTAATCTTGCTTGGGATTTTCTATTGTATGCAGCTGAATCTACCCTAAGGAACATGGTACCAAAAGATTCAGAGAACCTTTGAGATAAGGCTCCCAGAAGTCTGTGGCCTGGAATTTGGAGCAATTAAATTAGAAAGCATATTGCAAAGGAAGTCGTGATGATGGGGGAGAGGGTGCAGGGGCATAGAAACCATGTCCACTGAGATGTAGTAGATAACTCGGGATGTTTAAGCAAAAGATGAGCAGATCAGAGAACACAGTTTGAGAGCTCTAGAGAAGAGTGGTAAAAGCTCTGGGTTTGTCTGGAGCATAGCAATGTCTGTAGGACAGAATCCACGACTAACTTTCTAAGTAGCTTAGAAATGGAGTGGGTGTGTACACATGGAATGGATGATGTGTTAGTCAGGGTTCTCCAGAAATAAATAAATGAATAAATAAATAATATATATGTTTTACATATAAAGGGAGAGAGAGAGAGAGAGAGAGAGAGATTGATTATGAGGGATCACATGTGTACTTCCTGGAGGCCCAGGAAAGCTGGTGGTGTAGTTTGAGTCCAAATCCAAAGGCCTGAGGACAGGGGAGACAGTGGTGTAAGTCCCAGTCTGCATTCAAAGGTCCAAGAACCAGGAGCTCCGAAGTCCAAGGACAGGAGAAGATGGATGGCCCAGCTCACGCAGACAGACTAAATTTCCACTTCCTCCACCTTTCTCTTATATTCAGACCCTCAATAGGTGGGATGAGGTCCACCCCGCTAGTGAGTGTGATCTTGCTTATTCAGTCTCCTGATTCTAATGCTAATCTCTACCAGACACACCCTCACAGACATACCCAGAAAGAATGTGTTACCAGCTATCTGGGCATTCCTTAGCTCAATCAAGTTGACACATACAATTAACCATCACAAGTGGCTAGCAGTTTTTAAATTGGCTAATATTTGATTAAATGATGTGATTCTAAGGAAAACTAGAGAAGGGACAAAAGCTGGGACTTTGGGCTAGAATTTCTAATGTCCACTGTATCTCACAGAGGCCTGCAACGGTGCAAGGCACATAATATGTGCTCAGTACATCTTTGTTGGATGGATGAATGAACAAATGAATTAATATGCAGCCAGGAGACCCAGTCTATTTTGATACAATCAAAAGCAAGAACAGATCATTTTTATTGAAAATATCTAAAGATTTGTCTCTACCCTTGAAATAAATGCCATTGACATTGCTGTGCACTGAAAACCCTTTGGAGGCATAAGTTCAAGACACCCTTGTCCCTTGGAGGACCTCCCTCCTCTGGGACATTTGGGGAAGGGCACCCCTGGGATCTGCTCTCGAGTATTTGCAGGGAGGCTGTTCGCTCCATGCCTATGGGAGTCACTAACGACAACACCAGAACTCCTGTCTTTCTCTGTGTCATCCTGCTACTATCATGGCCTCAATGGAGGAGCAAGAGGGGAGCACGCTTCCAGCCACCCCTCCGCCCTTAGTCCTGTGAAGACAGTAAGGAGGGTTATGAACATCTGAAAGGAGTTGTCAAATAAGAAGAAATTGAAGCTCCAGTGTAAATTTGACACTTCCCATCAAGAGAAAACAACACAGCGATAGAGCAGCTTGCTGTCTGCCACTGCGCATGTGTGGGTGCCCGGATCTTGTCTCCTATTCACCTGAGCCCCGGTGTCCTCCCTTGCTTCTAGTCCATAGGGTGGCTCTCCAGCACCCTTTAGGGGAACCCCTCCTTTACCCACAGGGTCTGGACTCACTTCAGGACAGAGACCCTTCCTCAACAGACAGTCAGAGGGACCTTATAATTTCCCTGCCTTACCTTTCCCAAAGCCCAAGGCATCCAATTTAAAATGACACTAAACTGAAATTGAGTGAAGAGTCTGGACACAGTAGGATAGTCTAGGGAGGTCCTGGTGCTCTGAAGCAGGCTCCGTTCTAAGGCTCCCTGCCTCCCCATTTTCCTAAACACACACACACACACACACACACACAAAAAACATACCCTATTCTAAATGGAAAGAAAATAT